TAACATAATTTTAGGATATTTTTTCATCTAATTTTTGCAGGTACAGCTGATATATACTTTTCCTATATACATGGGGCCCAAGTTTGATTTGATTAAGTATATGCAAATTGCGTAATACTCCCTGCGTCTCATAAAGACTGTCATTTTTTTTTTTAATTAAGGATTTAGGGATCATTTTTGTATTTACCTATATTATCTTTAATTTTTAAGAAAAAGCTAAAAGATAAAAGTAAAACTTTTTGTAATAAGATAATTAATCAAAATAAATAATAATAAGGTTAATGTAAGAAAAATTATTTATCTACCTTAAAAAATGACAATTAATTTAAGATAAATTCAAAATAAAAAATTTATTTTGAGGTTGATGAAATAAGATATTATTCATATTTTATTCTCGATCTAAATGACGTTAAAGATTATTAATAGGTAGTCGTTGCTGCTAATGACCATTTTATATATTCTACTTTGCTATTTATGGGTTTCCAATTGTGAATTTTTGTTTTCAGCAAACAAAATCTATGTATCTATTTATCTTGCTCGAGTTTAGGTTTTCGTAGTATGCTTTGAAATAGTTTTTTTCTTTTTTTTTTCTTTTTTATCAACACTATGAAAATAGTAGCGGTAACTAGTATGTAATCTTCATAAGTTTCTTTTGGTATATCATGTGCTTAAATAATTATGAAATAAAGATTTGAGCCTCGAGCATGTTGTGGTTCTTCGGCAAACGGGTAGCATTTTTTGGGGTTGAAGGAGATAAATGGGACAATTGTGAAATGGAGATCAATGATTTTTTTTTTTTTTTTTTTGGGATCAGTCGGAGATCAATGATTTTAGTTTTTAAAAGAAAGGTCATTATAATTTTACAAAAAGTGCAAAACAATCTTTGGATGTTTCAAATTTGAAAATGTTATGGCTTTTATAAATTTATAATATAATATATCAATTATATAATTAGTTATTATTAAAAATTTAGTCATGATATTATATATATTTATTTATTTAATATTATATTATATTTATTTAATACCACATAAAATTATAGTTTATAATCTTATATAACATTATAATTATAGTATTATTATTTCAAATTTATAGAAGAAAAAGTAAACAATAGTTTTTATGACTTTTGAAATCCTCAAATCTATCCTTAAGTCTTAGAAATATTACAAAAATGTCCTTAAAATTTTTGAAAACAAATCTGTTATTTTAATAGAAGTTTCTTTTTTAGATTTTAAAAATTTATAACCAACAATTTTTTTTTGTTGGTTATAAAATCATAACCAACAAATATATTTGTCGGTTAGTTTATGAGAAAAGTCAATTAAATCAACGAATTTAGTAAAAAAATGGTTTTTTTTTTTTATGTTAGTTAAAAAAGTTAACTGACAACAATATTCGATGAAAAATTTAATCAACAAACAATGTTTTGCTTATTAACAAAAAAAAACTGACAACATTGTTTGACATTCATACCCTTTTCTTAAAAAAAACAACTTAATTGAAAATTTTGTTGTGTTAGTTAAAAATTTAAAACAACAAAGTGTGTGGTCGGTTTTAATAACCCAAAAAAGGCTTATCAATTATATTAATTTTCTAAAAAAAGATTTAGACATCCTCTAGTTTGAGACAAAATATAATACGCAGTTGATTCAATCATTAAAATATAATAAAAGTGTCACTAGTTCAATTAGTTGCCCCACAGTTGTATATATTGCTACATCTCTAAATTTTTTCACCTTTAACAATATGTTTGGATTAAGGGGGAATGGGGGAGAGGGGAGGAAAAAAAAACTTAATTTGGTTATCAAAAAAATTAGAGGGAGGGGAGGGGAAATTTTTTTCTTTCAATTATTTTTTAATTTAATTATTTATCCAAATAAAAGAAAAGGAAGAAAAGGAATAAATGGATATAATTTTCCTCTCCTCCCTTCCTCTCCAGCCTTCATTCCCCTTAACCCAAACATAAAGTAATTTTAGATAAAAAATAATAATTTTTAATGAATATAATGTAAAGTGTATTGAAAAAAAACTTGTATCTATATCTTAATTTGTTTTATATTCAACTCATATATTAAAATTATTATTTAGAATCATCTAATTAAGTTTTCGATTGTAAATATTAGTTCTAATGTATATACTTATCAAAATATTATTTTTTAACAAAAAAAAATTGTTTTTGTATATTATAGGTGAACACAATATTCAATTCAAGAAAATCAAAACAAATATAACCGACACTCAAATTATCGGTTATATCTTCTTTAATGAACAAATGTTTCTATTTATTAGTTTTTTGGCTTAACTTGATAAACCATTTATAAACTATTATATTTTTCCATCCTAGTTTAAAATTTTTATTTTCTTTTCAAATCAACTATCAATTTTTAAAATTGTCTTAATTTTCTCTACTTATATAACTCTATTAGAATTATTCACAAAAGTCCATGTCATCACTTATAATTATATTGTGTCACGTAAGTTACCATGAAAATAACACGTGGTCCAAAAACGGAAGAAAAATCCCCACTTCTTTGTTTCCCTAACCTAATTAATTATAAATAATTAAATTATAATCTAATTTAGTTAAAATGAGACCCATTTAAAATAACAAAAATAAAACAATTCAAGCCAAATGCTGCTTATATAATAGCTTATGTGACACCACTTAAGTAGTAACGTGGACTTCCATCAATTTTATTAACAAAATAGTATTAGGTAAATAAATTTGATATAGTTTTGAAAGTTAATTGATATCTTTAGAAGAGAATAAAGATTGTAAACTAAAATGAAAAAAAAGTTAATAAGTAGTAGATGATTTGTTAAATTATGCAGTCAAATTTAAACATTGTCGTCTAGCATTTATTTGAAAAATATAATCAAAAACCTTTATTGTTATTATAAATAAGAGGAAAAGTAGCAAGATGACAAACAAAAGTGAGAATTTTTTATTTTAACATGTACTCTTCCATGTACTAGTCATACAAATGTGTAGGCTTATATATAAGGTTAGGGACATATGGGAGTTACATTAACCATTGAATAGAACTAAATAAGAGAATGAATGGCACCTTAATAAACCCTTGAATGGCCTTTAGTGGGATCATGAATGACCCCTTAAAGGTGGGGAATGACCCTTTTATTGTGAGGAGTTACCACATGGAAGAAGATGAATGTGAGGGTGAAGCATCCACCAATAGGAAAAATTCACAATACTCCCCCTTGGATGCTCACCTTTTAAACTGCCTTATTAAAAACCTTGCTAGGAAAAATTCAATGGGATAAAAACCATGGCAAAGGGAAAAAGAGCGTAGTACGTATAATACTCCCCTCGACTTCAACAAAGCACTTTAAGGTGTCGCATGCCTATCTTGTGTACAAGTTATTCAAAAACATTGGTTGGCAATGACTTTGTGAAAAGATTTGCAAGATTCTCATTTGAACTGATTGCTAAACATCTATTTCACTAGCATTTTCAAGTTTATGTGTAGAGAAAAACTTTGGAGAAATATGCTTGGTTCTATCTCCTTCGATGAATCCTTCCTTTATTTGTGCAATGCATGTAGTATTGTCCTCATATAGTAAGGTCAAATTTCCCGTAATATCAAAGATCTTAACCATACATATTCTTGACTTGCCTCATATAGGGTAATCAATTATAATTGATTTGAGAATGTGACTACAACGGTCTGTTTGGTTGAACGCAAAGAAATTGCGATACCATCATATGTGAACAAATATCCAGTTTTTTATCTCCCTTTATATGGATCAAAAAAATATCTAGCATCTATATATCCAATTAACTTTGGTTTTGAGTGTTTTGAGTAAAATAATCCCATGTTTTTTATTCCTTGAAGATAATGAAATAAAGGTTTAATGTCATTCCAATGTCTTCATGTTGATTCAGAACTATATCTTGTTAACAAATTTACAAAAAACGCGATATCAGGTTGCGTATTGTTAGTTAGATACATTAATGCACCTATGGCACTTAAATATAGTACTTCAGGACCAAGGATTTCTCCATTATCTTCACAAGGTCAAAAAGGATCTTTCTTTTTACATCAAGGGATCAAACAATCATTGGAGAGCTTAAAGGATGAGATTTGTCCATATTAAATCTCTTCAATATCTTTTCAACATAATTAAGTTTATAGACAAAAATTCCATTTAATAAGTGCTCGATCTGTAGACTGAGATAGAATTTTATTACTCCAAGATCTTTCATCCCGAATTCTTTCTTTAAACATTCAATTGCCATTTCAAGCTCTCCTAGTGTCCCAATGATATTATATCATCAACATATACAACAATAATAGCGAAACCAAGTTTTGACCTCTCAGTAAAAACATATGGGCTAATAGGATTATTTTCATATCCTTCTTTTAGGAGATATTCACTTAGGCAATTGTACCACATTTGCCCTGATTGTTTCAACCCATACAAAAACCATCTTAATTTTATTGAAAATAACTCTCTTAGCATTGAGTTGCATGCTTCAAGCATTTTAAGTTGGTTTAAGTACCATTTTGGTCTCTCAACTTTCCATTTTGGCACCAAAATTGTCCTTCAACTTTAAAAAGTACCAAAATAATCCTTAAACTTTCATTTTTGATACCAAAATAGTCCTTCCATCAGTTAAATGACAAGTGTCACGTTAACTTGCCAGCAAATCAATTCTTTTTTTTCTTAACTAATGACGTGGGAAAAAAAAAACATAATTGGCCTATGAATTGGCATTTTTATTTAATTTTAAATTAATGATATTTTTTTTTTCATCTAGGTCATCTCTTCTTCCTCTTTCACTTTCTCTCTCCTTTACCTTTCCTTTTCCCTTACCTCTACAAACCCAGATCTGGGATCTGGGTTCTCTCTCAAACTTCATCTTCTTCCTTCTTTCCTCCTTCCTTTCCCTGCTCATCCTTCTTTTTTTTTCTTCTTATTCTTTCTCTCTCTCTATTCTCCCTTCTTCTTCATCTCTCAAACCCAGATCTGGGTTTTTCTCAGTCGTGTCGTGTTCATTTTCTATACAAAATGATAATCCAAAAAAAACCTTCAAGCACGAATAACCCAAACAATAAAACTAAAGCAAACAATTTGTCAAAAAAAAAAGAAATGCTAATCCATATAGAAGCTAAAGGATCTAAATCGTAACCATTAGAAGTAAGAACAAAATTGGCATGTAGCAATTAACTATTAACCACTGTTGCACAAAAAGAAGATCAACAATCTGAATAATTGTTTGAAAATCCTTAGTAGAAACTAAATTGACATGTCCAGCATTTCAATGCTAAAGAAACAGTGGAAGAAAGAAAAAGGCGATATTAAAAGGCAAAGAAACTCATCCATCCATTTTGAAAAGAAAAAAACATACAAGAAGTAACAAATCCACAAGAAAAATCCACAAGAAAAGCATTAGATACTACAATCCTACCATCATTTACAGAGCTAAAATTGAAACATGACTAAAAAAGGGATCCGAAAAAGGAATGGCGTTCGGGACATGAATCATGCTCTCCAGATTTGGAGCGATAGAGCTTGCCAAACACATAAAGAGCGGTGACAAAGCCGATGAAGCAGAGACAACAGTGGGTGAGATCTTCAAGCCAGAGGCATCGTCAACCGTTGTCCGAGCCTATAGTGAGCTAGATCCCGACACATGTTACTGTCGAAGCCGAAGCTGACAAAGCCAAATCCCGACGTGGCTGAGCCTACAATGAACTTGTAAGGGCGAATACTAGCCATTGCTGCCACAGAGCAATGCGGGGGCCATGATGCCAGGCTTCAAGCTCTTCTTCACAACAGTATCTGCTGATACGGAGGAGAAATGGTGAGTGAGGAGAGAAGCGAAGGTGGATGGAGAAATGTAGAGTTTGTCTCAAGCCCCGATCTAGGTTTGAGACCAAACTAGATCAAGGCTTGAGACAAACCCAGATCTGGGTTTGTTTTGGAAAGGAAGAAAAATCAATAAGAAAGAGAAAAAGAATAAGAAAGAAGATGGAGTTTTTTTTTTTTTTTTTTTTTTTTTTTTTTTTTTGTCTTCAGGTTTGAAAAATTATGAAATAATAATTAAAAAAATGTTAAATTTTCTTACCTGGAATTTACACGTCATTAAAATTAAAAAAATCCAGTGATTTTGTGACAAGATAACGTGACACCTGTCATTTAAGTGACGGAAGGACTGTTTTGGTACCAAAAATGAAAGTTTAAGGATAATTTTGGTACTTTTTAAAGTTGAGGGACAATTTTAGTGTCAAAGTGAAAAGTTGAGGGACCAAAATGGTACTTAAACCTTTTAAGTTCAATAGGGACTTTCGTATAAATGTCACTATCAAGTGATTCATATAAGTAAGCAGTTACAACATCCATGAGGCACATTTGAAGGTCTTTAGAAATTGCTAAACTTATTAAAAACTTGAATGTAATTGCATCCAGCATAAGAGAATATGTTTCCTCATAATCAATGCCAGGTATTTGTGTAACGTCTTGAGCTACAAGTTTGGCTTTGTACCTCACAACCTCATTTTTGTTATTTTTTTCTCACAAACACCAATTTATAATTGACAGGCTTTACATTATTGGGTGTTTGGACAATTGATCGAAAAACTAGGCATTTTTCTAATTATTTCAATTCTGCCTGAATTGCTTTTTTCCATTTTGGCCAATCACTTATTTATGAACATTCTTCAATGGATTTCAATTCAAGATCCCTATTTTCATTGACTATATCATTTGCTATTGCAAATCCAAAAGCATCGTCAATGACAACATTATTTCGATTCCACTCTATCCCAATGAAAATTTAATTTATTGAGATCTCATCAGTTTTTACAATTTCAGCATCTTCATTGTTTCAAGTACTTGAACCTTTTTTGGGATTATTTCTTTAGCTGCATTTTTTTACTGTTGTTTAAAGAACTCTTGAGTCTCTACAATTTTAGTGGAGCCAACATTTTGCTTTTGCTTTCTCTTCATTTTTGGATTTTTATCTTTGGAATCAATAGGTCTACCACACTTTTGTGTATAATATATTCATTTACTATTGTCTTACCACCTTTTTCAACAGGAATATCAGTTTGAGTAAGAGTATTCAAAGCTAGGATGTATGAACTAGTTGCTTTCTTTGCATCAATGAAAGCATCAAGCAATTGACTTGCAATCTTTTGCAAATGAATAATTTTCTGAACTTCTGGTTCACTTTAACATGTTTGAGGGTCTAAATGAGATATAGAAAATGCATCCTAAGTCAATTCCTATTTTTTCAACTTTTGTTCCTCTCCCCCTAATGTTAGAAAAATTTTCATCAAAATGACAATTAGCAAATCTTGTTATGAAAAGACCACCAATCATTGGTTCAAGATATTTAATTATCGATGATGATTCAAAACCAACATAAATTCCCAACCTTCTTTGGGGACCCATTTTAGTGTGCTATGTATTAGAACTTAAAACAGAGACAATGAGGAATATTACTGAAATAGTTTTTACATATTTATATCAAGCTATGTGCTGTACAAATATATACAGGGAGCATATGCCATGTGACCTGGTAATCCTACAATAAAAGGAAATAAAAGATATGAATAATATTTACAATAGTACAGAAATAATTGAATGGAGATTCACGAGCTGATTCTTTCCTTAACACTATGTAGGAGCAATAAGAACATATATAGCACAATAAAAAAAATCTTTAAATAAGATATATTTGGTTCAATCCCAAAAACAAGCTATAATAGTGAATGCTTATGATAAGTAGTTGGCCTTAATCAAATTAATGCTATAGCATGCAATATAGCATGACACCAAGCAGAAAAGGGTAACTTTGATCTCATAAGCAGCAATCTTGCAATTAATTGCAAACATTTAATAAGAGATTCAACCAAACCATTTTGTGTATTTATATGAGGAACTAGATGTTGAACAACAATCCCAATTGATGTACAATAGTCATTAAATGATTGGGATGTAAGTTCTCCTGCATATCAAATTAGATCCTTTTTATTGTATAATCAAGAAATTGTGCCCTTAACTTTATTATTTGTGCAGGAGGCCTTACAAACACAACATTACGTGTAGATAATAGGCAAACATGTGACCATCTTGTTAAAGCATCTATCAACACCATAAAATATTGAAATGGTCTAGATGGCAAATCCATAGACCTACAAATACCTCTTTGAATCCATAACAAAAAAGGAGATTTATTTTGTATTTTAGTTGAATAAGGCTTGGTAATTAATTTATCAAAGGAGTAGGCAACACACAAAAAATACTTGATTATAGAACTTTCAAGTTCTTTAATGGCTGTTCATGTGAACTTTTATAATTCTCTACATCATAATAGTAGTCGGATGACCAAGTCAATTATGCCAAAGGATGAAGGCATCTAGATTGACTATTTTCTTATTAGTCACAGTATTGGATTCTATTAGATGTATATATGTATCATACAATCCAAAAGCGAATGTTAACATTTTCTCCAATATTTTCTTTTTTCCAAATGCAAAAGTTGTGACATGGAGGAATTCTATTCCATTTTCATCCATGATTTCAATGTGGAAACCATTATGACATATAACCTTAAAACTTAATAGATTTCAATTTGATCTATTAGAATATAAAGCGTCGTGTATTAATAATTTTGCTCCTTCAGGCAATAAAATACAAGCTTTTCTAAAGCCTTCAATCAAGTTTGTTGTACCAGATATTGTATGAACGTTAACCTCAACTAACTCTAATTGAGAAACATAATTCTTATTTCTAAAGGTGGCATATGTTGTGTCATTGCCAACAAGACATAGGTCTCCATGATTGATCTTAGCATCATTCAAGTCCATTTGGTCTTAAATAAAGACAAATAAAATAAAAGAGACAAATATTCAATATATAATAGAAATGATTCATCTTTTATTGAATATAAAAGGACATTACATATGAAAAAAGAGAAATAACCACTCAAGGCAAATTACTTAAGAGGTCATAATAAGTCAAACTCTTGGTTGGGTATCACCAATACCATTAAACTTTTCAACACCTTCGAAAAAATTTGCAACATCAAGTCGTGTATCAAAATCCATATTATTATGCTCAATGAAATTCATTTCTAGATCTTTTCCTTCTTCATTTTCATTAAATGAGACTTGGTAAAGATCAACCAAATGCCTAGTAGTGTGACAAGCATGCTCCTAATGTCCTTTTGCTTCACATTTGCAACAAAAACTTTCAAAATCTTTTGCTAGGTTTTTGTTGTAAAATTCTACCCCTTGCATTCTTTTGTTCAACAAATTCAAATTTGAGATTAAAACCACTGCAATGCCAAGTATTATTTCGACCATAGGCATGTCCTCGGCTGTGATTATTGCCACGATTACAACCACGGTGACAACCGTGACCACGCCAACAACCATGACCACGTTGACAACCGTGACCATGTATATTATTATTATATGAGATTGCATTTACCTCAGGTTATTGGGCTAAACCAGTAGGTCGTGACTGATGATTTTTATCAAAAGTTCATTATTTTGTTTAGCAATAAAAAGACATGATATCAAATTTGAATATTTTTTAAAACTACACTCCCAATATTATTGCTAAAGGAGCAAATTCGAGGTATAAAAAGTGAAGAATGTTTTCTCTATTTCTTCATCAGTAATTTTTTCTCTATATAATTTTAATTGAGATGAAATGCCAAATATTGCAAAGTTATACTCACATATTTAAAATCTTGCCATTGTAGATCCATCCATTCAAAACGAACTTTTGGCAGTATCATCAATATTTGGTGATTACATATTTCTTTCAAATTCTACCATCACTCAAATGAATCTTTGATTGTCAAATATTTATCCTTTAATCCCTCATGGAGATGATGGCGAAGGAATATTAGTGCTTTAGTGCCGATCTTGTAAGGATGCTAGACTTCCTTCAACAATTGTTTCACCAAGATTATTTGCAGTGACATGGATTTCAGCATCAGATATCCATGGCAAATAATTTGAGCCCATTATATCAATGGTGGCAAATTCAAGCTTCATCAAGTTTGACATTGTGGCTACAAAAATTCATTAGATATTGAGATGAAATTAAAATTAAATAAAGAAAGGATTACCTTAAAGGCTTACCACAAATTGAATACTAAAGACGATTGTGCTAATAACGTATTATAAAATAAGATGACAAGTAGCAAGATGACACATAAAAGTGAGATTTTCTTATTTCACCATGTACTCTTTCATGTATCAATCATACAAACTTGTAGGCCTATATATAGGGTAAGGGACATATGGGAGTTACATTAGCCATTTAATAGGACTAAATGAGAGAATGAATGGCATCTTAATGGACCCTTGAATGGCCTTTAGTGGGATCATGAATGACCCTTTAATTGTGAGGAATGACTGTTTAATTGTGAGGAGTTACAACATGGAAGAAGATGAATGTGTGGGTGAAGCAGCCGCCAATAGGAAAAATTTACAATAATTGTCCCTTAAATGTTTAACCGACAAACTTTTAAGTTTAATTGACAGCTTCAGCCATTGGTTAAACTTTATTTTCTTGTAGTGAGTCATTAAGTCAATGGTCAATTTCCATGTAGATCATTTTACCCCCACACTTCTTCCTCCTTTACCCCAATTACACCACGCATGATTCTCCTATCATCCTCCTTGCCTACGTTCCAGCTCCTACTCACAAAGAAACTAGTTAAATGCAACACCCTTATGCCAACCATATCTGAAACGCCACCATGCAACCTTCCCCTCCACCTTAAACTCTTTTGTCAATGCACACAATTAACTT